GAGAGAGAGAAAGAGGGGGGGAGCAGCAATGAGCAATACAAATCAAGAGATAGGACGATTAAAAAAACAACTAATGAACTGATACCAAGATGTGATTGCTCAACCAAATCAATGGACTACTCACTATTAAAAGACAACGCCAGAACAACTATCTGAACAACTATCTTTGTCTTTGTTTGGACTTTGACACGGGAGACAGAAAGTCATATGTAGATGGTATTCTCAACTCGAAAAGCGATACACCAAGCTGAAAGATGCACACTTGGGTTAATTATCTGTAACAGAATGAACAGAAGATAAAAGTTTGCAGGATGCTGATATCTGTGACCGGGCTCACCCATTGTAATCTTCTCTAGAAAAACCAGCCCATGCCAGTTTCATTATCGCCTGCCTCACCCTTAAAGGACATACACTTTCCACTATTCCCTACCCATCTGATCCTGAGGAACTTCCTCAGGCACTTGTTGATGACAACCTGGATCCTCCAGAACTTTGTAAAGAGTGCTTTAGAAGAGCCCGACCCAGCTGCACCACCAAACAATCCACAAGGGGCGTGCAAGCCAAGGAGTTTCTGTTCACATCTGTGGACATGCTTCTGAAGGTTCCCACTCACTATTGCCTGCAAAGCTCTGGAAAACTGTATCTTGATCCCTGATTCTGTAATCTGTCGGAGCTTGAAGCCGCCTGCACTGGTCAGGGACAATCTGCCTTGTATGTCAGGCTACTCAATTATGTGCTAGGTGAAAAGAACATGTCGATTTATGAGTAAAAAAAGATCTATGTGAATTGGGCTTGAGTTTTGAGTCTTGACACCGTAAGCCAGACTAAGTGGGAATCTCACATGTCAGAAAAGAACATGACAAAGAAAGGGCACACCATGGATAAATCCTTTGCACTTAGGCAAGAAGACCTAGTGATGATTTGCCTGAATCTTCAGAGTGTAATTTGTCATTGTCTATTAATTCATCCAGCTCTTGTTACAGAAACATGCACATAATCTTCAATGCGACCTCGTATGGTGCCATCTATCACTTATGACAAAAGACACAAGGTGGTTTGATTGTAAATGAATTCACAAGTTGTTTGATGGACTTTTTAAAGGTGCACTAAATGCATAGAAGGTTATAACAATATATTATTATAGAGCTACGGGTGTGTGCGTGTGTGTGTGTGTGTGTGTGTGTGTGTGTGT